AATTTGAAGAAATTGAGAAAAGTTGGAAGGAACTGGAAGAAACTAGAAGAAACTGGAAGAAACTGAAAGAACCTAGAAGGAATTGGAAGAGCTGGAAGAAACTAGAAGGAACTAGAAGAAACTGGAAACAACTGGAAGAAACTAGAAGTTAGGAGTTCAAGCCCTAAAGAACAGGCACTTATTATCATTTTTAAATTAAAAACTTATCTCATATGTGCTCTAATGTGTTTATATATCTTTTGTGTGCATTAGCCTTGGTTATTGCATGATAATATAAAATCTTGTTTTTTTTATTATTTTCGATCATGTTTTATTTAGGGGGAGTTTTGTTGTAAACGCACCTTTTTCTCAATGATCTCCAAATTATCAACATTTTAAAAATTTATTTCTTGATAGGGGAAGGACTTCAATAAGTCATACATACATTAAAATCTTTGAATTCCCTTTTTTATTTTGACAAAAAAGGGGAGAAAATATATACTTCAAAGTGATACTTTTACAACAAAACTTGAGTGCATACTTGTATGTTATTGTTTGCATTAAACTTAACTTTTAATAAACACAAGAAAAGTACAAAATGGGTATTTTAATATGCTTATTTTAGGGGGGGGGGGAGGGTTGCTTGTTTCATTATCTTTAATTTACTCCCGCCTAACTTACTTTGAAATATATTATTTGTCAACATCAAAAGGAGGAGACCGTTAGTCTTAGTTTGCTAAATCTCGTGTTTTGAGGTAAACAAACAATATATGAGCTAATCTTTGTTTGAGTTTTTTCATGTACAATAAGAATCCATTAAGAAACAGTTCTCAAGAACGAATTGAAGTCAAAACACCAAACTAGCATAGAATATTATTTTATGTACCTATATTTAAAAGTTCAAATGCACTCAAAACATATGTTTAAAACCTTCTTATAATCATTTTCAAACATTCAAAAATTTTTAAACAAAATCGAAAAGAATTTGGCCAAAAATGAAAAAAACTACACAGTGGGCTAGGACACCCCTAGTGTCTGCCACGGACTCCCTACCAGAAAGGGTACCGTTAGGAAAGCAACCGTCAGAGAATATTTTCCTGAGAACGTACCTAGCTACAATTAGTCCAGGACCCTGGTACCGTTACTCCAGGACCCCTACCGTTAAATACCTTTTGTAACGATCCGAAAACCAGCTTAGTAGTTAGACGTATTTTAATAAAAGTAAGGGAGAAAGACCCAAATAGGACTAAAAGTTTGAAAATATACCAAAATAGGACTTCCATATTTTAATTCCCAAAATAGGACTTACATTACGAACCATGGTAATATACATTACCAAAAAACATAGTAATTTGCACATGTACACTGCCACATTACCACAATGCAAGGTCACATTACCACAATGCAAAGTCCTATTCTGGGAAAAAAACATGAAAGTCCTATTTTGGTACTTTTATCTATGTTTTAGTCCTATTTAGGATGATTTCTATAAAAGTAAAATATTAAATTTATTTATTCAAAAATGAATAATTTGTAAAGTTGTCCGTTTTAAATAAAAAATAGATTTTCGGATAGGTCTCATAAGATGGTGAACAACGGTATATAGTTTGTAAAATTTGGACTTACATCTCACGTGTAAAGCATGTTGAGTAAAATAGTATAAAGATTTTATTAATAAAATAATATACTCCGTAATAAATAAACTGGATTATGTTATGTGTACCCCAAGATTTGTACCCGCAGTTTTGCACCAACATTTTGTGTTGGTGTAAAACTAATTTTTGTTAAACGCACCAACATTTGTGTCCGTGTGAATTTTTATTAACGCACCAACACCTGTGTCGTTGTAAAGCATCGAAATGTTTGTGCAAACCTGTGGGTGTACAAATGGGATATATTTGTTGGTGTAAGTGTAGCATGGTCCAAATAAACTTCCTAAAATCTAAATCCTAAAGCTACTGCGACGCCGCTGCTTCAGTCACCGGAAATAGAACTGCCGCTGGAACACCACTATCCGTTGCCGCAGTTCTTCTTGTTGGTTGTTTGGTTAGTTTGGTTTGACTAATTTGTCAATTAATCGAGGTGAGTACGTGGATATCTAACGCTATATTTCATATATAGATTTGAAATTCACGTTCGTAGTTTCGTATGATTGAATTACGTGATTTATTTGATTATAATTGAATTATGATTTATTTATATTATATGATATTATTAAAATTGATTGAATGAGGATGACCAGATACGTTCTCTTACTTCTAATTTGTGTGACTTGCATGATGATCTATTTAGATATTTCTATTCTCCTGATTTATTGTGGATATAATGTAATATGCCTTGTACGTATAAAATAAACTGAGTTTGTTGATAGCTTGGATCTGGATAATTAAAGTTAATAACGTAGGTTACCTAGGAGAACTCTAGGTATACTTTGTGAGAATTGAGATTGTAAGCTGACAATAGGTTGTAGAGCCTTGTGAACTTAGTGTCCAGTGGCATTCGGAAAAGATGTACACACATGAAATCTGGGATCTGATTTGTAGGATTATTGGAGGTTCCACCCAACCGCGTCGTAGGTACCGGGTTGACCAGAATCATGGCCATAGGTAGTGGTTCTAATATCATGGAATGGACTTGAGTCATGGCCGTAGGTAGTGGCTCTAAGTCCTAAGATAAGAATGTGGATAATGAAGAATTGGCCTTAACCTAGAATAGGTTATGAGCTAGTGTTGGATATAAGTTGTGGTAATGACTTGAATAATGTGACAGTGACATGTGCAGGTGGAGAACCAAGGTAAGTGACAGAAAGTATGTTATTATAATGTAGTTGTTTTACCTGTTAAATGTTATGTAATATTATTACTGTTGTATTGTGTGCATGATATTGTATGAAGTTATGAGCTAGTGGGTTCGTCTATGTGCATAGTCGAAACGTTAGATATTTCACACTTAGCTTCAATGTTGAACGTGTAGACCTTTTTCCTATTTGCTACACATAGGTAACATGAATGCTGAATAAGGAAGTAATCCTGGAAGGCAGCGAGGGCAGAGAGGTGGATAGGTGCTGGCTGGAGGAGTTATCTAGTTTAATTATTTCATTTAAATTTATTATGCTTTTAAGGGCAAGAACCCAAGTTGTATTTTGATTTAACTAGTAAAGGCTTCCATAGCGTTTTATAATACTCCGATTGATATTTAAGTATTGTTTTGAATTGAATGTTTTAAGTTGTTTGAAAATTATTGTGTTTGATGCTGATTTAGTAGTAACCTGATTCGCTAACTGGTTGGTTCAAGTTACGCAGGTTGGGGTGTCACACCTTTACTACTCCAAATGGCCATAAACAATCATACCTCTACTCTCTTTTATTCGTAACTATTTTTTAGGAAAGGACATTACCTCTCCTTTTTTTTACTTATTCCTTTTTATTTCTCTTGTCTGACACCAAAATAGAACATCCGGAAGCATCAAACTCCACACTCAAGAATTGGGTCATATAGGACGTAAGAATGTTAGAATTGAGGTGAACCCCCCACTATTCTACGGGAATCAGCATCCTTTGACCGGGGAAAACGAATAATGAAATTAATGAAATAAGGTTTTGGCATAGGGTTCAAAGGGCTTTTCTACTCATAAACTAAGGGGTCGGATTTCCACTTTCTTTATATCTTTATATTCGTCTAACTATTGCAAGTTCGGATGATTGAATCGCCCGAACTCCAATTTGTTCTGGGTTAAGTCACAAACGTATTTGCCTTACTTCTTCGACAACCCAAGCTAGAGAAGTAAGACTTAATTAATGGCACTTTAGTTGTTGCATCTTTGTTGGATCCCAGAAAAAAGATGGAGCATGTAAGGTTTTATTTTGAGAAGCTTTATCCAGGGCATGCTGACTCAGAGTATACAAGATTGAAAAAAATGGTTGGAGAATTTAGTTAATGACTATGAGAAGACTGAAGAGGGACTCTACAATGAGAAGCAAAGATAATTCTTCTTCTTCCAATTTGGATAATGTGTCATGAGATATTCCTGAGATGGATGATATGGAGTGGGAAAGAAATGTTTCTATGATGCCAAAAAAGAAACGTCCAAGATCGGAGGTGGATCTTTATTTGGATGATGATGTGATGATAGTTGATCCAAACCCGACTCATTGTCATCCATGTATTTGAGAATGAACATTACACTATTTCAAAATAAACACTACATTATTCGTAAATAAAAATTACAACTCTGATTAATAAATGTGTTAACATAAAAACTACTCCCTCCGTTCTCTAAAAGAGTTCCTACTTTGAAAAAATGGGAAAATAAAGAAGTGTTAAATTGTAGTTGACTTCCAATTTTGCCCTTGATGTGATGGGTAAAAATAAGATGTGATGGGTAGGTTATTAGAGAAAAAATGTGATGTGATAGGTAGAGTATGAAAAAGTAAGGGTAAAAGTGGTTTTTTAATAGAAAGTGAAAGTGTTTTGTTGGAAGTGAAAAAAATGAAAGAGGAAGTATTTTTTAGAACGGAGGGAGTATGTTGTTTCAGAATGATGACTACGTTGATTAAAAAACATCACATTATTTCAAAAATGAATACTTATACTTTGTGTGAAAATAAGTACGGAGTACCCCTTTACTCCAAAATGAATACTACAGCCAGGGTTATACAATGTACATATACTTTTCTATCACAATTTTGATCACATATTCTTTGCTGGGAGGAGAGGCCACAAATGTTTTTGGGTTTCCACTTTTTCCCCACCACTAAGTTCCAATCAACTTGTGAGCATTCTTTTGCAGTGCCCCAAACAGTTTAAAAAGTGAGAATTGTGGCAGTAAATAAAATAAAAAAAGTGGGCAAAGAGGAGCCAAAGAAAGAAAGAACAGCCGTCCATCACATCTTTCGATACCTTTCTCTTCTTTTCATAAACTCTCTCCCTCTTCCCCGCAGACCCTTTAACTGCATTTTAAAGCATACCAATGACCGATAGACGAAACAATTCCCCCCCTTTAACCCCAACAAATTTCACCAAAAATTTTACATGCTTTAATTATATACTAAAATGTAAAAAAACAATTGTTCACCTTTTCCGTATGAACTGTACAAAAATTCATTATTCATTACTCGAATCATTCTGGGAATTAATCTAATCACTCATGAATCATGATCCATCCATCCATCCCTATACATTTTTTTTTTCAAACCTCTTCAATCACTAAAAAAATTGCTAAAAATGAAGAACTCATGACCAAATCTTTCCATAAGCCCCTTGTGCCTAGAATTTTACATGTACAAGTAACTTGCATCAATCGGCCATTGTTCGTAGTCTCCTACCTATCTTCGACAAAGATTCTCCCAATAAAATCCCGAAACCTTCGCGAATACAACTTTGGTTCAACAGCCGAGATCGAGGCGGGGTCCGCTTGCAACGATTTGTATGCGTGCTCCAATTTCTTGGTGATGTCGTAGTCTTGAAGAATGTCAATGATTCCAAAGTAAAGGATGGCATCACTGGTTTCGCCGCGGTGCGAAGGTGGCAAGCTATAGAACCCACCACCTGGGGAGTACTGGTCGAAATCACTTCTTCGAGCTAGTCGCTCCACCCTAGCAGGCATGTTTGCCCCTAAGCGGATCGAGGTTTTACTGGTAAAATGAATGTCCAAATCAATCTTCCTCAATTTCACAAATGACAATTTAAAACAACAACAATCCAGTTGAATCCTACTGCAGTAGGGTCTAGGGAAAGAGGAAAAAAGGGATGAAACCATACCGGCCAGCAACAATCTTATCCATGGTCTGAAGCTCTGCTTCTAAGAGTCTACACCCCCGCATATACTTTTCGTTTTGGTATGAATCGCTCTTCCCTGAAATGAATGAAAGATGCATTTGAAAACCAATGTGGCTCGTCTTTTTATTGAATGCTATTAATTCTATTACAATGTAATATCTGCTCACACATACTTTCTTACCTACTAAAGAATAAAAAGTCACGGGTTTCTCATTCAAACCTGTGACTTCCTATTTGGGAGAGTCACAGTTATGCCGCTATAAATAATAAAGAAAAGATAAGGGTTGGAAGAGTACCCGTTCGCAAGAGGAAGGGAGACAAGCCCATTTTGTCCATGGTATTATGGTCTTGTCGGAAATGAATGCCAACAAGAAGACTATAATCCATTATTCTCTCCGATACCAAAAATTCGCAATCCCGGTCAATTTGTCTGTTGTAGAAAACCCAACAAGTTAGACCGGTGGAACAACAGCCAAAACAAAAGGTGTGGGTGACTGAACAAGTTGGATACTAACTTGATTAGTTCTTGATACCAGTTTTGTTGGAGGCGAAAGACATAGTTGAGGTCAAGATCTTTAAGAGTGGTGGTTTCGTCAATATCTGCCTCGGCTTTACATGTCGAGCGACCATGAGAAGACCCTTTAAGGTCAAACCTCCTGTGAATTCGGTATTCCGAGCAGAATAAATTACCCATCACAATAAACCGCGTCTAAATGCATACAAAATTAAGAGAAACCAATTAGTATGGTAGACTACATAGAGAATGGGTCAAAGAGTTACAATCTTGATCACACACAGGTTTACTTACCTTCACACCCCCAACGGGTTTGACACAATGAACACCAAAGAATTTTGTTACAAGGGAATTTTCATATAGACAGACGTGACGATAGTAGCTTTGTAGCATCCTAAGAAGCACCTGAAGAACCAAGATTTGAAAGTCCAGTCTCCAATTTAGTTGGAATGTCTTTTCGGAATCACAAGTCAAAATAAGACCAGAGAAGTACAGTTAAACACAATTTCACCTTGACTTCCGATTTTTTCACAGTTTTGATCATAAATCGGTCATCTTGTGTCAAATAAAAGAAACTTCCACTCTTCCCCGGAGATGAAAGCTCTCGCAGAGCATCATTTCCACATATGGCCATCAAATAATCAGCAGTGTCCACCCGAAACTTCCCCCTCAGATGCCTGAAATATATCCCCAAAAAACAAAAACAAATCTTAAGTTTCAGTATTGTTCATGGATTGACCTGACCACCTACTTCAAACCATAATATCTCTAAAACTTAAATGAGTTTGGTCAATAAACACCTAAACACCATTGGGCAATAATCTTTCCACCAGAACTCTCCAGATTGATGAGGAGGGGTGAGTTTGGACCCCTGAGGAGGAAACCTCGTCCAGAACTTCTCCTTGGGATCAAAATCACTGGGCTTAAGATCTCCAGCCAATGCAGAAACTCGCTTTCCGGCAGAATACCTAGAGCAAACATCATCACTGATTCAGCTCCAATACAAAAACAAGCAAATAAAAGGCAATGACCCTTGAGAAAACACTCACCAAAACAGAAATATTACCTTATCCCCACCTGGAGATTGAGCATCAACCCATAATTCTTGTGCCCTTTCGAAATGGTCTGCCCCGGCTTCTTCACATCTCCATTGAAGCAACAAGGGGTGGTTCTTAAAGGCTGGGTAGCATTCGGTGATTCAATCAAGGAATTCTCAGCTGTATCAACTATGTCACAGGTTATATCCCCAGCCTCACCGTCCGACTCCCAGATGCAAATCCTGGAAAAATTCTTCTGGGCAGCTTGGTCTGCTGCATCCAGTGAACTCCTCTTTTTTGTCATTCCCACAACAATGGCTCCACACTTCTCATCCGACATTAATGAAGACACAGCCAGCTTGGGTCCAAATGACCCATCTCCCTTGAAAGTAAACCCCATATGATCCTTAATTTCTCTGGAAGCAGCACCTGTATTGTGAGCCTGGTAGTAAGTGCCATTCAAGACTTGCCTGACAGGAAGCTGACTCCTGTCTTTGCTGCTGCTCCAGCAGCCAATGTAACAGCTGCCGTCTGGCCAAGTGAAAACGCCGTGGCCTTTAGGCACCCCATTCTCCCAATTCCCATCATATCGGTTCCCGTTTGCCCAAATCAAAACGCCCCTCCCGTGAATCATCCCACTCTTCCATTCGCCAACATACTCGTTCCCGTTCTTCCAAGCATACCTCCCTTGCCCGTCCTGCAAATTTCTCTTCCAGTGTCCTTCATAGTAATCACCATTGCTGTAGTGTTTCTGCCCGAACCCGTGTTTCCGATCCGCGGACCAGGAGCCTCTGTATGTATCCCCATCCGAGCCTATGAACGTGCCCCGGCCTTCCATCCGGCCAGACTTGAATTCTCCTTGGAAGGTGGCTCCGGACGGCCAGGAAAACTTTCCCTTCCCGGAGGCCTTCCCTCGCTTCCACTCCCCTTCGTACATACAGCCATCGGCCCAGAGATACTTCCCGGATCCGTGAGGGGCGTTGCCGGAGAAGTCCCCCAAATACAGATCCCCGTTCGGGAGTTGCTTTTCCACTACGGAGGAAGCGCCGACGGCGGGAACGTTGATGGAACACGTCGGCGTGACTCTGCGGGTCGCTGCCTGAGATTTGCTCCGGGGAATAACAATAACAGAACAGGGCGTAGTACAGAAGGTGGCCGGATTGGTGCTGACTGCCGGAAACATCCCACTCTCCACCTCCTCATCAGCACCGTCCTTCTCCGCAGGGGGTACTTCATCCGGCGCTAACATCATCAACTCCAAAAGAAAAACGAACAGTACTCAATAAAAGACGCCGGAGAACTGGTGGTAGTTTGCAGCGGCGGAGAAAGCAGCGGCGATATCTCAACAATCCCTGGAAACGGAAATATGATTCGGGCGATGAACCAGTATCACCTTCGGGAACATTTCCGGCGACCCTTTGACTGTCCTTCCAATATCAGCAAACCCAAATCGAGCTGACAAATATAGATATAGATAGAAGGGATGAATGAAAATAGGAAGGACAGGAACAGAGAGTCACAGTAAAGAACGGAGAGAGAAAGGCATCGGAAGCAGAGGAGTCGGGTAGAGCGAGAAAATCGGGTAAAAGCATAAAATGTATAGTTGTTGAGAGAGAGAGAGAGAGAGGGAATAGAATTGACAACTCGTTTTGTCACAGACGGGAGGGAGAAAGAGAGAGTTATTGTCGTTTAGAATTCCTATTACTTTCCCATACTTTACGCAAATTCCACTTCAGTCCCCTGCCATAGAATTTTTGTTCGCACAAAAAGAAAAGAGGAGAGGGAAGGATTTTAACTTCAAATTCCCAAATGGAAAGAACGGGTTATCAAATCCCGATTTTCAATTTTCAATTTTTTTTTCTTTAGTAATCGGGTTTATAAATCCCGATTTTTAAAAGTAAATAATTATGGAATTTGCATGGGCAATTAAAAAACCGTAAGTGAAGTACATATATTTTTTTTTGTTTGCCTTTTTAATGTTTTAGAATCCTGATTATTTTAAATAATACAAATAATTACTAATTTTGCATTCAAGGTGTATAATTACTAATATAAATATTTAAAATCTAAAAAAATGAACAAAAATTAAAGTTTTTCATAAACAAAAAATAATGAAATAAATATTTTATTGAACAAGATACATCCAACAAAAAGACCAATAAAGTTACATTAAGTGTGGTAGATGTATATATTCATCCTCCTCTGGTAGCTCTTCGATCCATCTCACCAATGTACCGGTTACGCTTACGTCTTCCTGAACGTGGAATCTCTCCCTCCGGCCTTATTGGTGGATTGACACGAAAGTCACCAATATCTAAATTGGGTTGAAAAACAACTGGATGAATCACTCCACTATAACACTGTAGATAATTTTGAACGGAATATACCGGTGGGATGAGACTGTCAGCAACTTGACGCTTAGAGTGGAAAACAGCATGAACATGAACACATGGGACTGCATCGGAAGACCATCGACCACAAGTGCAAACTCTATTCACAAGATCCACCATGTAGCTATAGATAGATGATGGATCTGTTCGAGAAGTATGACTAGTAACATATTGGTTGTTGCCATAGTCTGCAACAGCCCACTTATGTTTTGTTCACTCACGACTTCGTAAGATGTTCGTAATTTTCGGAGTGATGCGAAAATTTTTTTGTTGCCAATTGAGTGCAGTCTTGTGCCGTTTTGCAAAAGATTCAACCATTTTGCTATAAGACATACTCAAAATGGCAGTAAGGTCCGTGGCGATAATTAGCTTGAGTCTTCACCTCAGGTCGGATAGGCAACAAGCGTGACCAAGCCCATAACTGAAGTAGAAGTAAGCACCCTCCTGGTCGAGTTCGATCGTTCTTCTTTAGTGCTGTGCGGCATAAACTATTGTAAAGCCGTGCCAAAACAGCTGATCCCCAACTATATTGAGAAGTCCGATCAAAATCGTCTAGGAACAATACAAAGTCGGTGGGTGCAAACCTTCCGGATGTGTCTGGAAAGAGAAGACCACCTAAATACACATATATAACTTGAGCAGTGTACTGATGGACATGAAAATCATTCCACTGGCCATTTGGTTGCAACCCCCGATTTAACAAAGGAATCTTAAACTGGTCTGGACGTCCAAAATGTGCCTCATTTGGCTCCCAACCTAGAATGGTACGAAAAGCTGCATCTCGTTCTTCGGGAGTCATGGGTGGCGCACCCAGAATAGGAAAACCATCAATTGGCAACCCCATAAGACACTCTACATCTTGTAAAGTTATACCCATTTCTCCAAATGGGAAATGAAATGCATGTACCTCAGGCCTCCAACGCTCCATCAATGCAGTGATGAGGCCATGATCTAATTTAATGGGATGAACTCGGTGGACCCCATAAAATTCAGCTCTACGTAGATTCTCAATAACCCTTGGGTCTGTAAAATTTGTAGGGATATGACCATCATACCGACACGGTTCTACTTTTGCATCAATATATGTCAGGTCATTCCAAATACGGAGAGAACGATGAGCCGTGATGGTGTAAATTACCACGCAAATGCTAAGTATAAGTAATCGGAAGGGCTGTAGGTGGAAACACCTGTAACCCGGTTTGTTATTGATAATACTAGGACTATTACAAAGTACAAGCCGTGTAGGTTAATAAAAGCATGCCTCACAAATGAGGCTTTTAGGGGTATTTATAATAAAAACAAGCATGTCAAGCACGTCCTGACGTTACTGTTCTTCCGGCCGGTCAGTCTTCAGGTCATCCACCCCGGGTAGGCTTCAGGTCATCCACCCCGGGCAGTCTTCAGGTCATCCACCCGGGTGGTCTTCCAGCCATCCACCCCGGGCAGTCTTCAGGTCATCCACCCGGGTGGGCTTCCAGCCTTCTCTGCGAATGAAGTCACGATCTCACATGTCTGACCTGCACATCCACCCGATCAGTATACCGGGGTTGGTGCTAGTGGATTATATCCATCAAGGAGTCCTCCGATTCTCGTCTTTGTGGGCACCATCAAGGGCGGGAATCAAGTGTCTGAATAATTTTGAATTTTTTGAATCCTCGGGTATGGTTGGCGCGAAAGTTTTTCCGGAAATTTGGTACGCCGCCGCCTAGTCATTGCGTCGTTTCCTCTTCCTGGAGAGGGAGCGCTCCGACCGGGCCATTCACGCCACTACTTGGGCTGCGTAGAATCCATAGAAGTTCGTTGTCCAGGCACTTTCTGACCGGGAGGTTGGCATCCGGTTCTTCCAAGTGTCCCAGCAACTGATTGGTGACATTGGGATCTTTGGATTTGGGACCGGTCAGTACCATGCCTGTATGGGATCTTGAGAAACCGGGTGCGGGATTTTGACCCGGTCGTTCGAACTCTCAATCTCTTTGGTCACGGCCGAGCTGTATCTACCCGGTCTAATGCATCTCACTATTCTTTCTACTCGAGTAGAAAATAATCCACCCGGGTGGGTTTTGATAGAGCATGCCCGGGCTATGCTTCAAAGTTGATCATGTGAGTCATTTCTCCTTTCACCTGGGTGAACAAGAGCTCTAGTCCTCCGAGTGAGCAACGCAATCAATTCTTTCCTTTTATGGCCTCGGCCATGCCAACGGGAGAACATATTCTTGAAAAAAGTCCTCCGAGCCAAGTTAAGTGAATCCATCGCGACCCTGTCACTCACCCGAGTCTGAGTCTTGATCGGGTGGGCAGTTTTCTTTTTTATTTATCTTGGGTAGGTTGGTTCACCATGACCTTGTCCAGGTGAAAAATTGTTCAAGGAAAGATATCGAAGATCGGGGTAGGCCCGATGTTCCCAGTCCGACCGGGCTCTTTTTTTTTTTCCTGAAACCGATGCGCAACCGGTGTACCCAATTCGATTGGGCTCAGGCTTGTTGGAAAATATGTGCAATACTGGTGTGAGACCAGTGTACCAGTTCGACTGGGTCACATATTTTCTTTATTTTTTTTATTTATACTGCACAAGACCGGTGTGGGACCAGTGTACCAGTTCGACTGGGTCGCATTTTTTTTTTTAATATGTGCAAGACTGGTGTGAGACCAGCGTACCAGGCCGGGCCTGTGTCACATACTTTTATCTTTTTTTTTTTTTGAGTTCAATTTGATTGAACACTGGCCGGGCAGATGGGTCTGCAACCTTCCCCGACCAGTCTTACCATCTTTTCTGAAAAAGTATGGTGTTAAACCCGGGTGGTTTTGTGATGTTCAATTCGATTGAACACTGACCGGGCAGATGGGTCTGCAACCTTCCCTGACCGGTCATACCATCTTTTCTGAAAAAGTATCACTTTATTGGACATTGGCATGGTACATATCCGGTCTTAGCGGATGATAAAACGGTTGTTCAACACTATTTTCTTCTTTTTCTCCCTTCGAACTCTCTTCAAGAGCCTCTCCAAACGTTCTTCTGCTCTGTCCACCTGGTTGCTGGGTGGTTCAGCATGCATGCGCATCGCCACTCTGGGCTGGCTTTTTGGCTGGTTCTCCGCTCTAGGCACCCTGCTGTGTTGGGGCTCATTACGGAGGCAAGGGTCAAAGCGCCCGGTCTGACCGGGTCGCCTACCACCTTCTAGTCTGTAGAATTTGCCTGGCTTGGGAACCTTCACCCCCAACCGCTCCTTGGCCGGTCGGTTCTGGTTCCGCCCCTCATGTCCAGCCTCTGGAACGCTGACCGTCGTGAACCTTCCGGCTGGACGGCTTTGCCCTGCAGCTTTTTCTGGCCCTTGGGAATATCCGAGTCTTCATCCCTGCTGCGCACAGAGCGCACGCCCCCGTCGGGTGTGACCTGAGTGTGGAGCTTGTGGGATCTGCTCATCCTAGACCGAGAAGGGCCTGCCCTTTCCAGCTCCCCTGGTGGTTTTGTCGGGATGACTAGCCGGGTGGTACTGGTCGGTTGAAACGACGGGAGATGCCCCAACGTGTTAGGAAGAGATGTATTTTGAGCCAAAGCACGAGGATACATCCCAGGGATGAAAAGAGTAAATCCCCCGGGTTGTTGGAAAATGGGCATAAATTGTCCAAAGTTTTGGAGGGCCTGGTTCGGTGTTGTTTGAGTAGTGAAGGTGGTGATCATGGGGGAGAAAAGAGAAGGTAATGATGTGATTCCTCCCGGGATCAGGGTAACACACTCCGCTGGGGTGGAAGCTTGGGAAATGATGAATTCCATATTGTTGTTCGTCATGGCTTCTTTTTGTAAAGAGGTCCCACGGGTGGCGCCAATTTGATGGTGTAAATTACCACGCAAATGCTAAGTATAAGTAATCGGAAGGGCTGTAGGTGGAAACACCTGTAACCCGGTTTGTTATTGATAATACTAGGACTATTACAAAGTACAAGCCGTGTAGGTTAATAAAAGCATGCCTCACAAATGAGGCTTTTAGGGGTATTTATAATAAAAACAAGCATGTCAAGCACGTCCCGACGTTACTGTTCTTCCGGCCGGTCAGTCTTCAGGTCATCCACCCCGGGTAGGCTTCAGGTCATCCACCCCGGGCAGTCTTCAAGTCATCCACCCGGGTGGTCTTACAGCCATCCACCCCGGGCAGTCTTCAGGTCATCCACCCGGGTGGTCTTCCAGCCTTCTCTACGAATGAAGTCACGATCTCACATGTCTGACCTGCACATCCACCCGGTCAGTATACCGGGGTTGGTGCTAGTGGATTATATCCATCAAGCCGCTTGTAAA